CCCTCCGTCTCCAACACAACACCCAGTACTCTACAGCCTCCTTCTCCAACACAACACCCGATGCTCAACAGGCCCCCTCCCCAAGCTGAACTTGAAAATCACCTTCTGATCAACTCCCTCCGTCTCCAACACAACACCCAGTACTCAACGGCCTCCTTCTCCAACATAACACCCGATATTCAACAGGCTCCCCCCCCAAGCTGAACTTGAAAATCACCTTCTACTCAACTCCCTCCGTCTCCACCACACCACCCAGTACTCAACAGCCTCCTTCTCCAACACAACACCCGATACTCAACAGGCCTCCGTCCCCAAGCTGAACTTGAAAATAACCTTCTACTCAACTCCCTCCGTCTCCAACACAACACCCAGTACTCAACAGCCTCCTTCTCCAACACAACACCCGATACTCAACAGGCTCCCTCCCCAAGCTGAACTTGAAAAGAACCTTCTACTCAACTCCCTCCGTCTCCAACACAACACCCAGTACTCAACAGCCTCCTTCTCCAACACAACACCCGATACTCAACAGGCTCCCTCCCCAAGCTGAACCCCGCTTTCTCATGATCATATGTGAATTTATATATGATTCCTACGATTTTCGGACTCCATTTTGAGGCTCTTGTTTGGAAGACTTTCTACTCACTCCCTCCGTCTCCAAGACAACACCCAGTACTCAACAGCCTCCTTCTCCAACACAACACCCCATACTCAACAGGCTCCCTCCCCAAGGTGAACTTGAAAATAACCTTCTACTCAACTCCCTCCGTCTCCACCACACCACCCAGTACTCAACAGCCTCCTTCTCCAACACAGCACCCGATACTCAACAGGCTCCCTCCCCAAGCTGAACTTGAAAATAACCTTCTACTCAACTCCCTCCGTCTCCAACACAACACCCAGTACTCAACAGCCTCCTTCTCCAACACAACACCCCATACTCAACGGACTCCCTCCCCAAGGTGAACTTGAAAATAACCTTCTACTCAACTCCCTCCGTCTCCAACACAACACCCAGTACTCAACAGCCTCCTTCTCCAACACAACACCCCATACTCAACAGGCTCCCTCCGTCTCCAACACACACACACAAGTACTCCAGATCCAACCACCACAACACGACGCGACACCCGAAACTTCAACCGCACCCGCCCTCCTTTTTTTTGGCATCTTCCACGAGAAAAGGGGGGTTCATGGTGGGTGTTGAGGCCTATATATATATATATATATATATATATATTCTCATACGCACCTCTCCGGGGGAGTAGAGCTCAGAGGCGATTAGTGCGCACGCGTCCGCGATTGTTCTGGGCGTTTCGCTCGGGACATCCTCGAAATTCTGAAAAACGGTGGCACCCCTCGCGCAGATCGTGACGTCAGGGTCCGAAAACACATGGGAATTTCAACATTGTCACATACAACCTTCAAAACCACATGGTAATTTCAATAATTTTGACCCCGATTCTCAGGGAATGGCGGTTTCGCTTGAAAAATGATTCCAACATCGAGCCCCAGACCCCGCCTCGGAGCCTCATGGGGGCCTCCTGGAACCTCCTGGGGCCTCCTGGTGCTTTCTGAACCTTCTGGCACCCCAGACCCCGCCTCGGAGCCTCCTGGGGGTGTCCTGAAACCTCCTGGGGCCCCCTGGGGCCTCCTGCGGCCTCCTGGAGCCTCTTGAGGCCTCCTGAAGCCTCCTGGGGTCTCCTGGGGCCTCCTGAGGCCGCCTGGGGCCTCCTGGGGCCTCCTGGGGCTTAAGAACTACATGCACACAGAGACACAAATCACTCCCAACGCATCACACGCTAGACAAACATAACACACACACAACACCTACAACAAACAAAAAGCACGCACCACACAAAGCATACATCACACACACACACACACGCACAACACTCACAATCCTGGGGCCTCCTGGAGCCTCTTCTGGTATCCAAGTCGGGCCTCCTGAGGCTTCCTTGGGGGGGGCCTGGTACACACATCGCAAGGTGTGACAACCCCACTTGCGCTCGAGTGCGACTTCGATGTTGCATTTCACTCCTGCTTCAAACGCCCCTTCAGTTTTTTGTATGAGCCTGGGCACACACGTGCCACTTGTATACACGCATATTCTCATACGCACCTCTCCGAGGGAGTAGAGCTCAGATGCGATTAATGCGTACGCGGGGCGTTCGCGTTTTTTCTGGCCGTTTCGCTAGGGACATCCTCGAAATTCTGAAAATCGGTGGCACCCCTCACGCAGATCCTGGCGTCAGGGTCCAAAATCACATTGGAATTTCAACCTTTTAACATACAACCTTCAAAATCACATGGTAATTCCAATAAGTTCGACCCCGATTCTCAGAGAATGGCGGTTTCGCCTGAAAAATCCGCCCAAAATCGAGCCCCGACGTACCCTCTGGTATCCCAGACCCCGCCTCGGAGGGGCCTCATGGAACCTCCTGGGGCCTCCTGGGGCTTTCTGAACCTTCTGGTACCTCAGACCCCGCCTCGGAGCCCCCTGGGGGTCTCCTGAAACCTCCTGGGGCCTCCTGGGGCCTCCTGCGGCCTCCTGGATGGAGCCTCTTGGGGCCTCCTGAAGCCTCCTGGGGTCTCCTGGTCCCTCCTGAGGCCTCCTGGGGCCTCCTGGGGCCTCAGAACTACATGCACACACAGAGACACAAATCACGCCCAACACATCACACGCTGGACAAACATAACACACACACACAACACCTACAACGCACAAACAGCACGCACAACACAGAGCACACACATCACACACACACACACACAACACTCACAATCCTGGGGCCTCCTGGAGCCTCTTCTGGTATCCAAGTCGGGCCTCCTGAGGCTTCCTGGGGGGCCCTGGTACACACATCGCAAGGTGTGGCAACCCCACTTGCGCTCGAGTGCGACTTCGCTGTTGCATTTCACTCCTGCTTCAAACGCCCCTTCAGTTTTTTTAATGAGCCTGGGCACACACGTGCCACTTGTATAAATTCCCGCCTCGCAACGACGGCGCCAACGACGGGAACGACGACGGCGGAGCCGTGTCCGCGGCCGTCACCGTCACCATCGCCGTGTTCTCATCATGTCCGTGGTCGATGTCATCGTCGTCGTCGTTGTCGTCGTCGTCGCCGTCGTCGTCGATCTCGATGTCGTCGTCGTCGTCGTCGTCGTCGTTGTCGTCGTCGTTGTCGTTGTCGCCGTCGTCGTGGTCGTCGTCGTACATCTCATCCTTGCCGTGGGTGTGCTCGTATTCGTCTTGTCCTTCTCCAGAACCGTCGCTGACGTCGTGGTGGTCGTCGTCGTCCTATTTGCTGTCGTCGGAGGCTTCGTCGCCAGCCTTATCTTCAGCTCCAGCGCACCAGCAACCTCCAGGCGGCCTGTTTATCTTAGTGTGGGACATCTGTAGGCCTGGGCCGGGCCCCTTCGTCATCACGAACATGTGGCTGCAGGAATTCGGGTCGAGAGCTTCCGGGGACCCTCGGATCGAACAGCTCAGGACGGAGGTCGCGGTCGTCGTCCGCCTCCTCATCGATGAGGGGGATGAGTCGGCACAGATGAGCGACGAGTTGCCACGGTGTGGCGCCATCGCCTGCACGCTGGCATAGCTATTCTGAAAGCGGGCCTGTCCCCCTGCAGGAGGAAGATGCACAAGTAGTCACTAACATATTATGGGGACGATTGCTGGAGCATTTTCGGAGCAGTTTCGAGTATGTGTTGACCTCTTTTTATTACAAAAAAACAAAACATAGTAATACATATATATATATATATATAATAAATATTGTTTTAATAAAAAATATAACCAAACATCTGTTTCTTCCAAGCCTGTAGGAGGAACGTGCCCGACCTGTGCGTAGCTCTTCGACCTGCAGCTGCGGCACGCGGCACCCGCCGCCCTCGCGCGGCAGCCCCCGCCCGAGCCGCGGCGTGCCGACCACGCTCGCGCGCGCCGCCGCCCCGCGACGGGCCGCTGCCCTCCGCGCTCCTGCCCCGTCGCGCGGCGGTGCGGCGGGGAGGGGCGGAGGGAGGAGGACGAAGGAGGGAGGGCTGGGGCGAGGCTCAGGGGAGGAGGAGGTAGGCGATGCTTAAGAAAACTTAAGTTTTCGGCCAGAGTCTCGATTATTCTTAACGTTTCAATGTAAATCTTAAGATTGTTATGGAAATGTTGGGTTTTTGTCCAAGTTCTGAGACTATGAATTTCTTAACCCATGATTTCTTAAGCATTTCGCAGGGTGTATACCCATACCTCTACCCTCCCCCGGGCCTTCCCCTTCCCCTGTTGGGGGGGGGGCTCCTGGGAGGCCCTCGTCGCCACCGCCGGATGCGCCTCGAAGTCCCTGCCAGAGCTCACCCCCGGAGAGGTCCGGGGAGTAGCAGCAATTAGGGGTGCTTGTTGGTTTCCCAAGAACAAGGAGGGAGGGGGCGAAGCGAGGAGGGCATGAAGGGAGAAGCAGGCAGGAGGAGGCGGATCCCCCCGATGTTCCCCCCGCCCTGGCGCCCTACCTCGCGCTCCTGCTCCTGCTGCCCAGCTTCCAGCCCCTCCTCGCTGGCGTGGTCCTCACTGGAGTTGCTCTTGCTCCTCCCCCTCCCGTGTCTGCCTTCATCCTCCTGCTCCTTCTGCTGTTCGTGGTCCTTTTCGCCGTCCTCTTTTATCAAAGGGCACGGGGTGGGGAAGGAGGAGGAGGAAGAGGAGGAGGAGGAGGAGGAGAAGGAGGACGAGGGGAAGGAGGAGGAGGAGCAGGAGGAGGAGGAGGAGGCGAACCGACTGCGTGTCTCTGAGACTGCCGCATGCGCGTAGCGCTGCGCAGTGTGTGAGTGTACCTCCCGCGACGCCGCCTCCGTGCTCGCGTGGTAAGCCAGAGTGGGGTTTCTTTCTGTCCGCTCCCGCTAGTCCGTGGCGGAAGGTGCGGGCGAAGACGCAGTGCGCTGGATTTGTTCTACAGGTGGGCTGCCAGGCCCAGTCCTGCGAGGAGCGGTGGGGAGAGTCTGAGGAACCGGGGGTGGACAGAACCCCCACCCTGACACGTCGATCAGTGAATTGTCCGCGTTCGGTTTTCGAGAGGGCGCCGCGGCAGTCGCTTTCAAGGCCTGCGCCCGCCAGGTCTGAGCCCGAGGTCGTTCTCACTAAATCGCGTCTTGCCAAAGGGTTTTGTCAGACTGCACGTTGCCCGAGCTTCCCTGGGTGCCCCCAGCCTGTCAGCCTCTCCGCGCGGCTCAGCAGCTGCTTTGTGAGCTGGCCCGGCCGGCCTGCTGCGCGCCTAGTAGCTAAATGAGGCCTGTTGTCGCGCCCCGGACAGCTTCTGACTCCGCCTGCGCCTTCGCTCGCGGACGCGACCGAAAAAAATAATAAGAACACAAATTGCTAAAGGGGGCCCTGTCCGGCCCCGGAGGAGCCCCGCGGGATGCTTCGCGCCAGCGGCGCGCTCCTCCCCCGCGGCGCGAGACCCCCAAATGCCCCCCCGAGCGCCCCATGAGTCCCCCAAGCGGCCCCAGGAACCCCCAAAGCGCCGCATTGACACCAGGCCCTCGGGCAAACGGCAGACATGAGACTGTATGGGCCGGCGGAATGAGCGAAGCGATTGAATAATTTAAAACAAATTGCTAAAGGGGGCCCTGTCTGGCCCCGGAGGAGCCCCGCGGGATGCTTCGCGCCAGCGGCGCGCTTCTCCCCCGCGGCGCGAGGGTGTGCCCCGCCGTGCTGCCGGGCGCGGTAGTCGTTTTCAAGGCTTGTGCCCGCCAGGTCTGAGCCCGAGGTCGTTCTCACTAAGCCGCGTTTTGCTAAAGGGGGCCCCGTCCGTCCCCGGAGGAGCCCCGCGGGATGCTGCGCGCCAGCGGCGCGCTCCTCCCCCGCGGCGCGAGGGTGCGCCCCGCCGTGCTGCCGGGCGGCTCGTCGCCCTCGGCCGCCCTCGCCGGGCGGGCCGAGGCGCGCGGGCTCCACGAGGGCAGTGCTCGCGGTGCCTGCCGTCGTGGGCGATGCGCTCGCGGCGTTCGCATCAAGCTCGTCCCTCCTCCTCCTCCTCCTCCTCCTCCTCCTCCTCCTCCTCCTCCTCCTCCTCCTCCTCCTCTCATCATCATCCATCATCATCATCATCATCCATCCTCCCTCCCTCCTCCTCCCCCCTCTTCCTCTTCCTCCTCCTCCTCCTCCTCCTCCTCCTCCTCCTCCTCCTCCTCCTCCTGGGTGGCCGTCCCTCCCACCGCGCTCGCGGGCGATGCTCACCACCCACCAAACCACCCCAACCCAACCCGAAGGCTCAGATTGACCCTCGGTTTCTCGTGGAGGGGGGGGGTCCGGGAGCATCGAAAAAAACACACATGGAGCCCATACCCCCCCCCCCCAGCCCGAAATTCGGGTCTTCGGGTTGGGTTGGGGTGGTCTGGTAGGTAGTCAGATGCTCTCTCGGCGTTCGCATCAAGCTCGTCCCTCCCCCCCCCCAGGCCCTCCCAGCCCAGCCCCCCCTCCCGCCGCTCCGCCCGCGCAGGCGCCTTCCTGCCCGCGATACCCTCCTTCGCCTCCGGCCTCGAGCTGGGCAACGCGGCCGGCTCGGCCGCCATCGTGGACGTCGCCGCCGTCGTCGTCCTCCCTCGTCCTCGTCGTCGTCCTCCTCATGGTCATGCCCCTGCCTCTACTCCTTGTCCTCCTCCTCCTCCTTCTCCTCCTCCTCCGTAGCCATTTTGGCTCAAGGTTGAACCGTGCCGCCTCGCGGTTGAGCCTTGGACTTAGCCAAGGGGCGGGGCTCGAGCCGCGCTTCAGGGGTCGACAGGCGACCCCGCAGGCTTCATTCTTGCACCATCTTGCATTTCTTTCTCCTGCCGTTCGCGGCGACCCTGCAGTCAAGTGTCCAGCCATGGCAGAGATCGCTATGAAGAAGATGCTGCAGGAACTCATGGAGGCGCAGACGGCCACCCCCCGCGCCGATATTCAGACATCGACGGCAGGGATCCAAGGGCAACTCACCGCCCAGGGTGCTGAGCTCACGGCGCTCCGAGAACAAGTCTCACGTCAGGAAGAACGTATTCTGAAACTCGAGTCGGGGCGCAGTTCTACGCCAAGTACGGCCTCAGGAAGCTCCTCAATTCGTTCTTTCTCGCAGTCTGGGACGAAGAGTCGACGGGTTGACACGTCCGCCATCGACTTAACCAACGATTTCGAGCAGGGTGATCCGAGGGTAAAATATGTTGGAACTTTCCCACGCCCACTGCTGCTCAAGACCCGTCAGGCACACTTCGAGCAGTTGAAGGCCAGATCCCCCAAGGAATTAGGCGATGATAATGCTGTCGAGGTCCAATTCCATGGCATTTCGCAGGTGTACAAACTCAAGTTCAAGACCGAGGACTCAGCCACTGAGTTCCAGAGGAAGGCGAACATGGTTGGTATTTCCTGCCGGGACTTTCGTGATCAAAGCGTCCATCCTCTCCGGATTCGGGGAGATCTTCCTCTCCACGTCCGCCAGAAGAAGCGGGCCTTCTCTAGCATCTACGTTTCCGTCAAGCAGCTCGCGATGAAGAGCCCGCCGTCGGACGCCTCGTGCAAGCTCGGGGTCAACGGCCGCAAGGGTGCATTGCAGGTCATATCCGACTCCGACGTCTACGAGCTCGTGTCGGCGAAGCAGGGCTCTGGAGACCAGTTCACGTTCGAACCGAACCAGGCCTCGCTGACGACCTGGGGCATCACCCCCGACCAGATCCAGGAGGCGCTTGATGACCTGTGATGTTTTTTTTTTTTTTTGCGCAGGCCGACGCTCCAGCCAGGAGCGAATCTCTTGAGGGTATTGGTTTTGACGTCTTTCTAGTGGAGGAGGAGCGCGCGGGGCGCTGCTCTTCCTCCCCGCATGCTGCCGCGCCTTCGCTGCCGCTGTGGATCTCTGAAGCTTTCAGTGAATATGGCGAGCCTATGTTGGCTCCCGCCCCCTCTTTCTTCCTTTGGGCATTCCTTCCCCGCCCTGTCGCCGAATTCAGGGGGGGGGGCCGTCTAGCTTTCAGTCCTCCTCCCCCCCAGCCCTACTTCCCGAAAGACCCCTTCAATATCACCACTTGGAACTCTCAGGCTCTGATTGGTTCTGCCTATTCTAACCAGCGTCGCGTTCGACGTAAACTTCAGATCCTCCATTCTCTCCTTCAACACAACGATATACTAGCAGTGCAAGAGACCCGCGGTACCGAGGGTGACCTCCCCCTTCTCAAGCGGGACTTTAAGCGGCACACCATCTTCGGCTCTTTCGCGCCATCCGCGAATGCTGGAGGTCTTCTCATCTTTATCTCTCTGCGGCTGCAGCGGCAATTCAGTCAACATGTATTTCGCGAGCTTGTGCCTGGCCGTGTTGCTCTTCTCCAGCTCTCAGGATCCCAGGGGGCCCTAAGCACAGTCAATGTTGACATCGCCCCCGAACTTCCCGAACCCAGGGTTCGAGCCCAGTTTGGCTCTATTCGTCGCGCCCTCCCCTCGTCTGCTTCCTCTTCTTCTTTCATCCCCGGGGACTTCAACTGTCTCGAGCTGGGGGAAAGTAGGTGCTATGCCTCTAGTGGGGTTGAGCGTTTCTCTCCGTCCAGGCTTGCAGGAGCCTTCAGGACTATCTTTAGCGAGTTCGCAGAGCTCGAGCAGGACTCCTTCACCCATCGGCGTATAACGACTACTCCTACCTCTTCCGCCTCGCATGCCCGCCTGGACCGTATCTATACGAATATTCCCACCGCCGACCTCCTCGACCACAACCCCCTCAGTTCTACTCAGTGGAAGGTCGCTGATTATCTTTTTCCCTCGGACCATGTCCCTGTCTATCTCTCCCTCAAACCTTGGAAGCCGAATGGTGAAGTGCCCCTGCCGGCCTGGATATTTAAGCGCCAGTCGTACGCCAGCATCTTTGAAGAGCTCGTCAACGGGCAAGAGTTTAGCACCGACCCCACCGAGCGTCTCCTAGAGGTCAAAGCATGCATGGTCGCAGCAGGTCAACAATGCAAGCAAGAGATGTTTCGAACGGTGGCTGAATCACGGCAAGAAAAGATCGCGTGTTGTCTCCGCCTTGCTAGATCCCATCTTGGTCGAATCCAGCGCGGCATCCTGCTAGCCCTTCGAGCTCACCCAGTCCTTAAATAATTTTACGACCCCGAGCTTTCCTTGTTCACCCATTGGTCTGGTTTTCACAATCACCTGAGCCAAATGATGAGGGCTGGGCTTGAGGAGCAAGGACGCGACCTTCTGCAAGCAGATCGGTTGCCTGCCACTTCTGCTGATTATCATCTGCGCCGCATTCGGCGTCTCGCGCGTGCCTGGAGGGCCAGTCAGCGCACAGCAGCTTTGAAGGGCATCATCGGCGCAGACGGCAGCGAATTCGCGGAGCCCAATACCTGTGCCAGGATGCTTGCCGGCCACTGGAGTTCAGCATTTGCACGTGGACATCAGAGTCCAGGAGCTGGGGCTGAATTTCTTCAGGACCTTCCCTCCCTCCCCTCTGACCCCCACCAATTCGCTAACAGTACCCACCAAAGGTCCCCCTGGGCCCTTACGCTTGATCAATTTCTTGACCTCCTTCACAGGAAAAAAGATTCAGCCCCAGGACCCGACGGCTTGTGCTGCGGCGCCTGGGGGGCCGCTGGACCTGTGGCACAAGAAGCAGGTTACGATGTTTATCTCCATCTCCTCGCGGGGAACCCGATGAGCTCGGATTTCAATGCCGCCAAGCTCGCTCTCGCGCCGAAAGGGGCCTCGGGGACTCAGGGCACGTCTACAAAACCGTCGAAGACACGAGACCGATCGCTTTATCGAACACCGACAACAAACTGATCAGCTGACTAGTCGCCTCCCCGATTTCGGAAGTCGCTCGTGACCGTCTTCATGAAACTCAGCGTGGTTCCATTGAGGGTCGTCAAATTATCGATAACGTCCTCGAGGTCGATCTCAATCTCGCTCGCTGGTATGCTGCGCGTGGGGAGAGGCGAGCTGGAGCTTGCTTCTTCGACTTTCGCGCCGCCTTCCCGTCAGTGCACCACTCTTGGATCTTCAGGGTTCTGAGGGCGTACAATATTCCCACATTCGTGATCACAGCCATCGCATTACTGTATTCTAACATGCGTTGTATCATTTCCTTTCGCGGTTCGGACCGTGTCTCTTTCACCGCCCTGAGGGGCGTTGAGCAGGGCTGCCCGCTCTCTGGTGTATTATTCGCATGCGCCCTCGACCCGCTCCTTAGACGGTTGCATCGCCTGCCCGTCGAGGCCCCGAAGAGGGTCGCAGCTTTTGCCGACGATCTCGGCCCCACCTCCTCTGATATTTATGCCGCTCTGGCAGCCGTTGCACGTCAGATCTGTCTCTTTGAGTGGTGCTGGGCTTACTTTACATATCAAAAAGTGTGTTATCGTTCTCCTGGAACCTGGCAGTGCTGAATCAGCTAGAGCCGAATTCAGAAGAATGGGGATTCGCGTCAACCAATTCAAAATACAATATCACGGGAAATATATTTGGTTCTACCCTGGGTGAAACGCCCCCATCCTCTCCTGGAATCCTGTCGCCCACAAGCTTACCCAGAGGTCCCTCGCCATCAAGAAAATGGGGCCTGGCCTGGCTAGCAGCATCACCGCTCATAATGTATATGCTCTATCGGTTACTGGTTATGTGTCTCAAGGTTCCCGCCCGACCCCCCAGATCCTGCGTGCTGAAAGAGAAGCTCTGCAAGTTTACACTTGTGCTCCGAGGCATTCTTTTCCGCCAGCGATTTTTTCACGATTCAAAGAAATTGGCTTCGAAGTGCAGGCAGGCGACCTTCGTGTTCGTAGCCTTGCCGCGCGACTTCGAGTTGCCGTCAATTCTGACCTCTTTCCTCGGCTAGTCTCTCAACTTCAGGACACCCTTGACGGTGATGATTATTGTATTGATTTTTGGTGGTCCCCGTACCTGAAGGACTCCCTCTTCTGGCAATTGCATCAAGATTTCCTGGACTCGAGGTACATTCAGAGGCTCCCTGAAGACACCCAGAGGAAAAATGTCAAACAAAAACTTGTGCAGTTGATCACTCCCGACTTCCACTCAGAGCCCGTTTCCGGTATCATCGCCCCAAGACTCAGAAAATGGCTACCCTCTCTGATTGGAGCTGAGATTGACACCTCGTTCAGAGTCATTCTGCAAAGCAGCAGTATGGTGTTGCCCTTTGTCTCTGTTGCGCTGCTGAAATCGTGCTTCAACAGCTGGAACACCGCGAAGCGCTTTCGACAAGGCGCCCAAGGCTGTAAGTTCGGTTGTGCATGCGCTGGCGGAGACGACTTGCTTCACTATGTGGTTTGCCTTATCGTTCAGCCTCTACTTGTCCATCTTCTGCCTGCTCTTCCACCTGGTTGGGGTCATGATCCACTGGGAGTCTTCCTCCCTCATCTCCTCCCTTTGCGAATGATACGGCTCTCCCATCCTGTCTTATTGCCTTAGATTGCCTCCACTCTGCTTTTCAAGCTCTGCGCACCCGCCCTGTCCCATCTGCTGTGCTCTCTCGCCAGACGGTCAAGGCACGTCTCAAGGTTATCGTTCGGAGGTCCCCTCAATTGCAGGGGCTGCTCCGCTAGTCGTCGCGGAGCCAGGACGCGGCCCCCCACGGGTGGGACTCCTCCTCCTCCTCCTCCTCCTCCGTCCTCCTCTGTTCTCCTTCCCCGTTCCTTGTCCTCATATCTTCTCTCCCCCTTAAGTCCTCGTTCCTCATCTCTTCCTTCATCCTCCTCCTCACGTTCTTTTTGTATGTAAGGCTTGGTCCTCACGTCCTCTTCCTCCTCCTCCTCCTCCTCATCTTCATCCTCTTCCTGGTTGTTGTTCCCTCTCCTGCTCCTCCCAGGTTCAGGATGGGTTTACTTCTGGGCCACAAAGGGCCCATTGGCCTCTGTTTTTGAGGCCGCGTCGGATGACTCTGGGAGCCCTCGAGGGATGATTGCCTGAGCCAAGTGGACTGTGGCGGCCCAAGAACTCCCAGTTGAAGCTCTCTCCTCCTCCTCCTCCTCCTCCTCCTCCCTCCTCCTCCTCCTCCTCCTCCTCCTCCCCCTCCTCCTCCTCCTCCTCCTCCTCCTCCTCCTCCTCCTCCTCCTCCTCCTCCTCCTCATCTGTACCTTCCTGATTCTCTCTTTCCTCCTCCTGCTGACGCTGACGCTGAGGCCGCTCGGGTCTCCCTGGTCGAACCATCGCCGTCTTTGGAGCTTAAAGGGCGGGAAACGCAGAGGAGCCCCGGCAGGCGCCGAGTGGGCGTGCGCGCCGCAGCTCAGAGCAGAGCCGGGCCAGGGCGTCTGGGTGCCGCATGCTGCCGCCGCCGCTCCCTGGCCAGACCCCCGCCCCGCTCGTCCTCAGCATCGGCGTGGCTCGGGCGCGGCTCGTACTGGGGGGGGGGGGGGCGGAGGTGGGGGCGGGGAGCTACTGACCCGGGTCAGTCCAGACCCGGGGCAGTCGGGCTTTGCAGGATCCCGCGGGATCCTGCAGGGTCCTGCAGGATCCTGCGCCCGAGCCCAGCTCAGTGCGGCCCTGGCCCCGCAGGATCTTGCAGGATCCAGCGCCCTGACCGACCCCCGCTCGCATTGGCCCCCGCCTCTTGAGCCCCGCACCCGTGACCCAAGGCCGGCCCGAGGCAAAAAAAAAAAAGAAGACGACGACGACGGCGAGGACGTGGGCCAAAAGGATGACGACGAGGACGTGGGCCAAAACGACGAGGACGAGGACGACGAGGACGACGATGAAGCCGACGACGATGAC